TTGGGAATTTGTAGGAGTGAAACTCAATGACATGGTTTTAGAGGTAATTAAATATTAGATTCTAGCAAGTAGGGCTGCAATTTATTTCCTTTTTAGCTATTTCGAAATGTATATTTTGATGAATTATCAGGGTTTGATTGGTGAGGAAAAATTGGACGCATTCAATATGCCATTCTATACACCTACAACGAAGGAGATAGAAGAGGTGATCGAGGCTGAAGGATCATTTACTTTGCAAAACCTTCAAGTTTTCAAAAATGATTGGGACTCTTATATAAAGCAAGCTAACAGTGGCCTTGATAAGAAGACAAGGGCTGCAATATTTGCCACTGACATAAGGGCTGTGGCAGAGCCGATTCTGGTGAGCCAATTCGGAGAAGAAGCGATGAATGATTTGTTTCACAGGTTTGAAGATGTTCTTGATCACATGAAAAGGGAGAACTGCCAGTTCATTAACCTGGTTATCTCGTTGACAAAGAAGTGTTTTCGGACATGTCGGTTGGGCTGCGCCTCGAAGAGGGTCACCGATTCTAAATCCTCAATAGGTCGTGCCGGTGGGGTGACAGCCTCATCCCTGGGATCATCTGGTTTGTCCGCCCCCTTGTCTTTCGGTACGGCCATTTTGGTAGAAACTGAATATGCTTTGCGAAGCGTAGCTCTTACCGATTCCCTTGTTGCCGAAACGTAACATGTCTGTGCGCTCAACTGATCCCCCAGCACCTAGCAGACGCCAACGTGTGTGGGGAACTTGAGGAAGAGCATGTGTGGTGACAGCATGGCTTTCAGTTTTGTGAGCGTCATTCTGCCGATGATGGCGTTGTATGCCGTTGGGCAATCGACGATCAGAAAGTGAGTGTAGATGACCGTTCGTCTGGGGATAGTGCCGATGGCGAACGGGAGTTGAACACTGCCGATTGGTTCAATCACGTCACCAAAGAAGCTTAGGAGGGGGGTGATATCTTTGTTTAGGTGCTGAGGATCGAAGCCGAGGGAATTGAAAGCATCGGCAAATAGCACGTTGACCGAACTGCCTGTGTCTATGAGGATTCGCCCCACATCGAAGTCGGAGATGTCCGCTCGTATGATCATGGGATCGGAGTGGAGGAAGATGATGCCTCTTTCTTCTTCTTCAGAAAAAGTGATAGGTTCCCAACCGATTCGCCGGAACTTGTCGTTGCGTCCTCCCGCTACGCTGATGATCTGGGGGTGCCGAATGGCACGTACATAGTTTTTTAAGGAACGCTTGCTGGCTTCGGCTATGGGCGCCCCTCCGCTGATCATGTTGATATGCCGATTCGATGGTTGGTCCGATGCCCTTTTTGTGCTTAGGTACTAATCCAGCTTTCCTTCGTTGATTAGGCGTTCGACAATTTTATGAAGCGCGATGCACAATTCTATATCGTGGCCGTTGTACTGGTGGTATCGGCAGAAGACTCCTGTGTCCTTCTCGTTCTGCCGAGGGAGCTTGCGGTTGTTTGGCTTCGGTATCATCTGATTCTCTGTCATGAGGACGTGCTCGTAAGTGGTATTGAGCAAAGTGAAGGCTTCTTCCGGTCGGTTTTTCTTCGAATCTCCGAAGTTGCTTCGCCTACCAGAGTCCTTGCCCTTGTATTGTAGTGAAGGGGCCTATTTATAGTGGGCATTTGGTATGCTCTTAGTACTTAATTTCGATGTGGGACTCATGGGAGGGCCCTGCGAGGTTGACACGAGTCTTTGGATATTTTGGACGGGGTTTTCGAGGTTTGTTCGGTAGAATCGGTAGGTGATACCGATTGTTCGCTGCCTTGGGCAATTGGGGAGTTTTACCAATCCACGCGTCGCTGTATGAGTGGAGGGTCAGATATGGTACAAACAAAA